CTGGAGGTCCTCCTCCAGGAACTCGAGGTCACTGGGGGGTGGAAAGATACAAAGCACTCAGGGACCCCTTTCAACTTCGTGTTTCTATCTCTTTACTAATCCGCATGGGTTTTGCAAGTACAGATTCAAACTCAGTCGTTTCCAATTGCCATCCACCATGCAAGAGGGAATGGAGCAGGAACATGGGACCGAGGTACAATTCTTACTCACACACCAGGGTGCGTTCAACAGCCAGCCTGGCGGTGGATGTGAGCTCGCCAGACTGACAATGATGGTTAAGTTCAGTGCAAGCATGGAAGCTCGCACTATTTGTCCTGGATGGGGACGGAGTGCAGTGACCAAGAGGGGTGGGCCGTACACTCCTAGGGGAGCCTGGAAATGTCTCGCTGGGTGCCGTGGAGTTGATTCTGACCCATAGTGACCCCATGCACACCAGAACCAAATGCTGCCTGATCCCATGCCCGCCGGCCGGCCGGCCATCCTATGCTTGAGCCCGTTGCTGCATCTGGACTGCCTCCATTTGCTCAGACACACGACATTCACTTCCGTTTCAAGACACATGCGCGCTGATACTTCCTTGAGATTTGCCACCCTTAGATTCTGATGGACCCCGAGCCCACTGCCATCCAGTCCAATCAGACCCAGAGCCCCGGCACAGGGTTCCCGAGGTGGCCCCTCTTCACCGGCTCAGATTGTACTGCAGGCTCAGGTTCTGAATCTGAGTGACCGGTGCAGGATGGGATGAAGCGCCTCCCGGTCCTGCGCCGTCCTCACGACGGCTTTTCCGTTTCAGCTCCTCGTCGTCGCAGCCACCTGTCATGTCCATCCATCTTGGCGAGGGTCTGTCTGTTTCTCAAAGACCTTCTACTTCACTAGGGAACAGAGAGCCTTGTTTTTCCTCCTACGAGGCAGCTGGTGGGTTGGAACTGCCAACCTTGTGGTTGGTGGGTACGCAGTCTAACACTTCCTTGACAGCACCGTGAAGGCTCCCTTTTCTCACGGCATGTCTAATCAAGTGGGTTTTCAATGAAAAACAAATTTTCAATTTTCTCCCCCCTTTTCCTCCTGGCCTCTCTCCAGATAAGCACCCTCCCATCCCTATCCTGAGGAGCCTCCCCCGCCCCCATCCCTGTCCCTACACGCATTCTCCTTCCTCTCATCTGCTTAATTTACATATCTCGCTGTTGTCTAAGCCCCCTGGCATGCCGGCCCAATTAATTTCCACCGTTTTGCTCACAGCACTCACAGAATTTGACACCTGGCACCATCCTTGAACCAGCGATGTAAATCATCCTCCTCAAAGGGTGTCATTTGAATTACAAAGAGAACTGCACACCAAAGTGAAGGGGCTTTTAAAGGCGAGCGCCACACAGACAAGGGTACCGCCTCGGAAACCTAACTGTGTGTGCGAGCCCAGCTTCCCAGTCCTTGGTAAACCACCAAACCCCACGGACTCGCCCCTGCACGCTCGGCAGCCAGCCCCGAGGAAAGCGCGCGGTGCGGGCTGTGGTGTTGATGTGTGTGTGTTTGTCTGACGAGAGCACCCTGTCACCCAAAGGCAGAGAACAGCGAGCTCTTTTGGAGATTGATCTGCGCTGGAAAAATCATCCCCTGGACTGAATGAGGCACAAGCGGCCAATTTTAGGAGCAGGGCAAGATTTTTCCATTTTTCTTTTCTTTAGACAGCGTGAGCTAGAATGCGTATTGTTCTCCATAAAATGCTAAGAAAAGCAACGCCTGGACGTGGATGTAGCCCACGTGCTTTCCATTGTTCAGCCGAGACGCCACAGCCCAGGTGGATGTTTCTGTGGGAGGCTGGCTCTGCTGTTGAGGGCGGGGTTCGACCCCCTGGGGGCCGTGTTCAGCAGCAGGAGGAAGACTCAGGTGGTGGTGGCCAGGACCCCAGTCTCTTTCTCCCATTTCTGCCTGCACTTGCCTGTCTTTGTCCTGTAGACGCTGACAAGCCGTTGGTTGGTTTCTTTCAGTATGAGATACAGATTCCCGAAGGTCGCACAGACCCCAGCGTGCTGCTCATACGGGTCCGAGACCGGGACACCCAACTTACATCAGCTTGGAGAGCAAAATTCAGCATCTCCACTGGCAACGAAGAGGGCCACTTTGGCATTGCGAGAGACCCTGTCACCAATGAAGGGATTCTGAGTGTCCTCAAGGTAAAACTCTAGCTGTGGGTTGAACAGTGTCCCGAAGGAGACCAGACCCTGTTCTCAGCATCCTCCCTCAGGCGCGCAGCCACTGCTGGCTGTCATGGAGGCTGGCAGGCTGAACCTCCAGACCTGGGCAGGTGAGGAAGAAAGGCCCGGTGATCCGCCAGTGAAAACCCCGGGGTCACCAGAGGCCCAGCCTGATGTGC